CCTCCCCTCCCTTGGACTACAGGTCCCATCCCACCATTCCCTCCTCCCTTGGACTACAGATCCCATCACACCATTCCCTCCCTCCCCTCCCTTGGACTACAGGTCCCATCCCACCATTCCCTCCTCCCTTGGACTACAGATCCCATCACACCATTCCCTCCCTCCCCTCCCTTGGACTATAGGTCCCATCCCACCATTCCCTCCTCCCTTGGACTACAGATCCCATCACACCATTCCCTCCCTCCCCTCCCTTGGACTATAGGTCCCATCCCATTATTCCCTCTTCCTTTGGACTACAGAACCCATCACACCATTCCCTCCCTCCCCTCCCTTGGACTACAGGTCCCATCACACCATTCCCTCCTCCCTTGGACTACAGATCCCATCACACCATTCCCTCCCTCCCCTCCCTTGGACTATAGGTCCCATCCCATTATTCCCTCTTCCTTTGGACTACAGAGCCCATCACACCATTCCCTCCCCTCCCTTGGACTACAGATCCCATCACAGCATTCCCTCCCTCCCCTCCCTTGGACTATAGGTCCCATCCTATCATTCCCTCCTCCCTTGGACTACAGATCCCATCACACCATTCCCTCCCTTGGACTATAGGTCCCATCCCATCAGCCCTTCCTCTCGGACTACACTTCCTGTCCCTTCATCCCCACCCTCTCATCTCTCGGACTACAGGTCCCATGACAGTATCCCTTCCCTTCCCCTCTTGGACTACACTTCCCATCCGAGTATTCCCTCCTCCTCCTCCTCGAACTACACCTCCCAAGAGTCCAGCATCCCTTCCCTCCCTCCTTTGGACTACAGCTCCCATGCCAGTATCCATTCTCTCTTGGACTACCCCTCCCATCTTGAAAGCCCCTCCCCTTTGTCCCTTAGACTACACTTCCCATGCTGCATCCTTTCCCCTTGTACTCCACCTCCCCTCCCTCCAATTACACCTCCCATCTCAGTATTTGCCGCTGCCCCTCCCTCCTCAGGAACCACAGATCCCATCTTGCCATCCCTTCCCTTCCTCCCTTGGACTATATCTCCCATCTCGAAACCCCTCCCGAAGATTACAACACCCATCCCGGCATCCCTCCTCTCTCGGACTCTACCTCCTGTCCTAGCATCCCTTCCCATCCTCGTTCGGACTACCGATCCCATGCCAGTATCCCTCTTCTCTCTTGGACTACCCCTCCCATCTTGAAACCCCCTCCCTTTTGCCCCTTGGACTACACTTCCCATACCTCCATTCCTCCCCTCCCTCTTCCTCCCTTCAATTACACCCCCCACACCACCATCCTAGTATCCCTTCTGCAGCCCCCATCTCCCCANTTGCGATTTTTTCATGTTCCTTCTCGGCGACCCTGCTATCCCCTGGTATTGTGATGAATATGATTGTAACCTTATTTTTCTCAACCAGTGTGATGTCTGTGATTAATATTATTATTATACAATTGTATCACAGCAGCCAGTTGTTTCGCCGGATTTGGCATTGGTTACTAGTCGGGCCCCACCCAGGGGGTTCTTGTTGTTGTTATTATTATTATTGCTGTTATTATGTTATTATTATTATTATCATTATTATTACATTATCATTATTGTTTTTGTTGTTATATTATTACATTGTTGTTTTTATTATTGTTATGTTATTATTGTTATTATCATATTATTATTATATTATGCTTTGTGTTATGTTAAGATGCTGGTTTTGCATATTTGAATTTTTAAAGAATGGGAATTCCCGGTTGCATCCTACAATCCGTCAAACATGAGATGCAAATTATTTGGGTCCTCCACCACCCATCCCCCCCCCAGTCTTAATCTATGAGATATGGATAAATCCTGTGCCCAGTCAACACAATGTCTCATCTCAGACCAATTATGCATTTTTAAAAATATATATATATAAATATTTCAGGAGTTCATGAGATATAAAGCAACTGATCGCTGCTCCAAGATGAACAAATCCAGCTATTCCGCCCACATCCGGCAGGGGCCGCTGATAACAAGGCGCGGCCTTTCTTTCCCCGCGGATAGCCGCTCTCGGTGGTTGCCCGACGCCGGACCCGCTCTACCTTCCCGACGTTGCGAGGCTTTAAGACGGGTGCCTCTATGGTCCCAAGATGGCGCCCGCTTTTCCGGGACAGAGCCGGAAGTGGTGGTTTCCATGCCGACGGGGGCCGCGTAGTGAGAGAGAGAGCGAGAGAGAGAGCGGCCTAGTCGGGCCTACTCCCCTCAATCTGTCTCCATCCGGGGCTCCGCCTCTTCCTCCTCCCGCCTCCGGTCCGGGCTGCTGCGCGCGCCGCCCGGGTGTGGGCGCGGCGTGCGGCGTGGCGTCACTTCCGGCTGCGGGCCCTTCCCGGCCGCCATCTTGCGGTGTGGGGGGACGCGGGCCGCTCGATGGGACGATGCAGCGCGCGGGGCCGGGCGGGGCGGGGCCTGGCGGGACGGGCGGGGCGGGGCCGGGGCGCGCGCTGCTGAGGCGGGAGCTGCGGCTGCTCGAGTCCATCTTCCACCGCGGCCACGAGCGCTTCCGCATCGCCCGCGCCTGCCCGGACGAGCTGGGCTGCGAGTTCCTGCCCGGGCCGGCCGGGGGAGGGCCGGTCCGTATCCATGGCAACATCACGGTGAGGAGGGAGGGGGGGCTGTGGCTCCCAGGGGGGCTGTGGGCGGGGCTTCGTCCCCCGGGAGGGAGGGGCTTCGGCGGAGGACTCCAGGCCCCATCGTCCCCGGCCGAGGAAGGTCCCTCTCCTCCCTTGGACTACAGGTCCCATCACACCATTCCCTCCTTCCTTGGACTACAGATCCCATCACACCATTCCCTCCCCTCCCTTGGACTATAGGTCCCATCCCATTATTCCCTCTTCC